CATTCCCGTTCTTCGCACCATTATGGTTATGCGATCCTCCTCCAGCATGGTTATGACTTCCATGGTTATGAACAAGTCCTCCCGAGTTCGGGGTCAAGCGGGGCTTCTGGTGAGCTCCTGAGTTGTATTTACCTTGTCCATACTTCCTCTTACGATTATCAATCTGCTGCTGCTTTCCTTCAATCATTAGGGCCTTATCTACCAACTCCTGGTAGTTGTTGAAGGTTGCTACCATCAACTGCATGCTCATCTCATCATTTAGCCCTTCCATAAACTTCTCCTGCTTCGCGGCATCTGTAGCCACATCATCAGGGGCATAGCGTGATAACTTGCTAAACTCATCCACGTACTGGCCAACAGTACGGTTCCCCTGGCGTAAATTGCGAAACTCACGCTTCTTCATCTGCATAGCTCCAGTCGAGACATGGGCAGTACGAAAAGCCTGCTGAAACTGAGCCCATGTGATAGTGTCGATAGGATAGGTGGCTATGAAATTCTCCCACCATGCTGCTGCAGGTCCATCCAGTTGGTGTGTGGCAAAACACACCTTCTCAGCATCTGTGCATCCTGCGGTGGTTAACTCCCTTCCAATACGACGTAGCCAATCATCTGCAACTATTGGCTCGATGCTACTGGAGAACACCGGCGGCTGTAACCTTAAGAAACGGGCGAGGTTATCCACTAGAGGCGGGTTGTTGTTGTTGGCATTGTTGTTATTGGCATTGCCCTGGTTCTGAACTAGCAATTGCATCAAGGCATTCTACTGCTGGATCAATTGGGTGATCTCCGGTGGGAAAACAAAATCGGGGTCTCTCCTCGGAGGCATCTGATGGGTTTTAGATGGAAGAGATTAGAATAGAAAAAGATCTAGGGGAGAAACACTACCCATATGTATATGAGGCAAACACAAGCATTTCATTCAATCAATCAAGCAAGGGCATACAAAACGGTCTAGGACTATCGCAAAAGTGCTCACTACTACTAGTTACATGGGGGAAATACTATTATCATATGGTGGTCATGTAGAAATTTTGATCGGTGGAAGACTCCATGATGTCTGCTCCAGCTTCATCTTCGTAATCATCATCACTTGAATCCGAGTCGGTGTCGTCGATGATGATGTAGTTGTCCGGACGAATGAGGTCTTCTCTCGGAACTGGTCCTCCCATAAAGATTCCGATCTTCTCAACCAAGTCGTCATTCTTCTCCAATAGGGTCTTGATTTCCTCCTCATATCCATCGCGTGTGAACTTAAGTTCTTCCTCCAGCTCGATGATCCTAGTTTTCGCCTTCTTCAACTCTATCATGTCTGCGCACATCTGGTTCTACTGACGTCGAATGTGCTGGTTTTGTTCCTGGATAAAGGCTGCAACAGATCTATCCTTCCTGGTGCTGATCATCTCCCATTGTTCATCTTGGCGCCCACATATTTGATAGGTGGTATCCTCTAGTTCCTTGTTGTAGATTTCTCCAATGCGTCCCATGGTAATATGAGCTGCCATACTCTTGCCAAGGCTCCAAGTGGGTGCTTCGAAAGAAAACTCTATGGGTTTAGAATTTGGCGAGAACGTTCTTCCTGGAACTCGTACTTGAATCATCCAGCGCTCTTCTTCCGGTAGAGTGGCGTTGTTCATCCCAGTGAAACTTGGTATTCCAATATTCAAGTACCTAGTGATTTCCTTCAAGTGGCGTCCAAAAGGTGTGTCTCCATCTGGTTGTGCAAACTTGTTCTTCATCTCCTTCATCCTAAAGAGTGGAACAAGAAGAGGAGTCAGAAATGAGAAGAGAAGGGTGACCTATGGTTTGTCTTAGTGGTCGTGTCCTACACTCAGCGTGTGCTCTGATACCATCTTGTAGCGACCCGACCTCAGATGGTCAAGTCTCTGTGCTCAGGTGTCATCCCTGGATCAGTAATGCTGACACCACACAGTACTTCGAAGGATTTATAACAGAGTAGCAATCACACACTTATTACATCGAATGTCTCAAAAGAGAACTTATTACAATAATATGGCTTAAGGCCATCTAATGCGATAACAGCGGAAGGCTTGGAAGATAAAGTGAGTCCATTAACTCCAACGGCATAGCTGAGCTGCACGGCAACGACCTACGAACCTTACTCCTCGTCTGAAAAGTCTGCAACATAATACGTTGCAGCCCGAGAACGGGTCAGCACATGGAATATGCTGGCAATGTAACACCAAAAGAGCAATAACAGAATAATGCTACCACTACATGCATATTTGGCTGGTGGAAAGCTCTATGGTTACAGTTTTGCGAAAAGCCAATTTTTCCCTACTACAAAGGAATCAGTTTTAATTTAACTATCATGGTAGTTGAAACATCATTTGAGAAGGTAACCCCAACTCAATGATCCCAATTAAAAATAGTTAACAACCCAGCAATATTAATGTAAGAGTGTTGAGATACATGCGAATACTCAAGTACTAGATACTCAGAATTGTCCATAACCGGGGACACGGCTAACCATGATTAGATTTTACACTCTGCAGAGGTTTGCGCACTTTTCCCCACAAGACTCGATCGCCTTCGTTGATTCTCGCACTGCATGGTGTTTGAGAGACGGATGACCGAGACACAGTCTTTCAGAAGCATTAACTCTCTACTCCGGGCAGACCATACCAAACCTACAAACCCACTACCTGCTGATCCACCTTTTCAAGAGCTTCACGCAACTTACTCAACTATGCTAGAGCCTATAATAGCTTGCGGCTGCACACGGAAGTTTCTAGCATGAATAGACTCAGTTCCCTTTGAGCCTGGGTGGCGGTCCATAGGAGAATCACACGGTAACCCCGGGATTTCCAAAAATAAAACAGGCAATCACTGGATATCCCAGGTGCCTCAATCCACCCAGATGTGTATTAAAGTTGCCACCTTAAGTAAACCATTAATTAACAATCTCACATCTGTCATGGATATCACTCAAAACCCAATCCACGTCTACGAGCATAGCATGGCAATTTAAGCATAACGTAGAAGTAACTCCCAAGGGTTTGATAATAAAACAGGACAATAGGTTCTACCTCATCTACTACTTCTCAATACCCACATGTTAAAGGCATGCTAATCATGCAATGTTTGAGGATTGAAACTAATGCATAAAAACTGGGTATGAAAAGAGTATGATCAATGTGTTACTTGCCTTGCTGACAATCCGGGAATCCTAGATACTCGTAGTAACACGCTTCGCACTTCGGGAATTCTATCACAAGCAAACAATAACATACATAAGCAACAATCAAAGATGCACAAGTAGAACTCCAAATAAAAGAGTTTGACCGGAGAGTTCAACTTAAGAACTCCGGTTTGCAAAAAGAATCAAATCAAACGAAGCAACAAAACTCAAACGGCAAAAGAAACAATTTCGTTTTGCTAATCTGGATCTAAGTCAAATTTTACAGAAGAAAAATCTTGTTTGAGTTGATTATGCGAAAAGAGGGTTTCAAGATGAAACTCCAGGCGCTTGAATCGCCTGATTCTGATAAACGAGCGAAAAGATAAACAAGTTTGAATATCAGATCAGAAATCACGATCAGAATAATCGCGGAATAAATCTGATAAAAAGAAAAACGACGAACGGCTAAACGAACGGACGTTCGTTAGCAGAAACTAAACGACGAACATGTTCGTTAAAACGAACGGACGAGCGAACGCTCGCTAAGTGAATAAACCGGAGAATAAAACCGATCTATAAAAAAACAAACTAGGGTTTTTTCAAAAAAAACCGAAGGGTTTTATTAAAAAACCGGTGGCGGGGTGGCTACCTCCGGCGAGGTCGTCCGGCGAGGCGGGCGGCTCCGGCGGGGCTCGGCGAGGGGCGGCGGGGCTCGGCGAGGGCGCGGAGTGGCGGCGGCGCGGGGCGAC